TCTATCTATCTATCTATCTATCTATCTATCTATCTATCTATCTATCTATCTATCTATCATCATCATCATCATCTACCTGTTGCATTTTTAAAGCATTTTTATACTGGAGATTATTTATAAATCTCCCATCATGCTGAAAATGGGATATGTAGACCACAAATGGAGGCTGCATGATTGCAGAAGCTTAATAGGTTGTTTATAGATTAAGGTATGGAATTTAGGAAAGAAGTCATTTTTTACATTCAAAATAAAACATAGTGTTTTGTTTATAGGGTGAAAGGGGACCCTTTGGACCTACAGGAGATCCAGGATCCAAAGGAACCAAAGTAAGAACCAAAGAAAGAAAAATTTATATTGATTTTTCTTATGAGTGATCCTCATGATAGTATATCGAAGGCCATTTCCAAATTTGTTCATAGTATTAGACAGAAAGAAGCTGCTAACTCAAATGTTTCTTTTCTTAGGGCTCTTACCTGCATTGCAGCATTTAAAGTGGCAAAATAAAAGTCCAGAGCAGTCCTGTTGTTGTACCTCAAAAATGAGGCTAGAAAAATTGTTGCATCTACATGAGACTGAGGGCTTTTATAGACAGAGGAACAAGTGAGATGATTCAAGATGTTCAAGATGTTATTGCTTCTATCACCCCCCATCAAATCCTTCACCATAACTATCCCTGCTTTTATCTCCATATTTGCTGGAGATTGTGACTGTTATAGCTGTTGAAGTTAACAATGGTGATAAGCTAACCTGAAAATAAGGCCAGAGATCACCATAGTGCGAGCCAGTAGGAATATTGAACCTCTGGGACAAAGGTTGTCAAGTCTTTTGAGATAAGTACTGCATGGTTGTATGAGAGGGATGCAATACCAAGACTCACATGTGATACTAACTACTGATATAGTGTGACCAGTTTGGGTTTGTTTAGTACCATATTTTTCAGAGTATAAGATGCACTGAGATTTTGAAGAGTCAATTTTTTTAAAAAAGTTTTTCATGAAAATGGGCCCGTTTTCTTTTCAAAAAAGGGCATAAATAGCCTTTAGGAGGCTTGTAGAGTGCTTGGGGGGGGGGCATTTTTCGCTCATTTCTGCCTTCCCCAGCTCCCAGGAGCACTCTGGAAGCCTCCTAAAGGCTATGCATGGCCATTTTGATGAAGGGGGGAGGGTTTCAGGAGGCAAGAAATGCTGTATTCAGTGTATAAGACGCACCCAGATTTTCAGCCTCTTTTCTGAGGGAAAAAGGTGCGTCTTATACTCCGAAAAATACAGTATGCTTTATATGTTTTGGAAGTGTTGTGTACTCAGTAAGTATGGTGCAACAAACCATGGCTAAATATAGTGCATCAACCCAGAGAAACACATTTGACTGCAAATTGTTCCTTAACTCAGCTCATATTTCTAGCATTCATAGTTAATTTATTAAATCAGGACTGAAGAATCTGAAGCTCTTCAGATGTAACCATACTGTCAGTAATGCTGCAATATGGCCAATGATGAATGTTGAAGTAAATTGTTGCATATATATTGCATTGATACTTTGTTCCTGCCTTAAAATATCTGAATTCTTATAAATTATTTAAATAAATATTTATGCCATATGATCACCTTTATCATTTGGACCAGCTTACCCCTGTCTCAGATGTTTGGATAGATCATTGATGGTGACATAGGATAAACCAGAGAATCACAATCAGATGAGCTAATTCTACTTTATTATAAAGCTAGATTGAAAGGATCTTTTTTTAAATCTGAGAGCATAATCTTCATCCCTGCCACCAGCCTTTAAAACCCAAGATACTAGAGTATGTGCTTTTCTTCTGAACCTATCCAGTGCAGACTCTATATGAAGGGTCTTCAAACTGTGGCCCACGGACCGTATATGGCCTGCCGAAGCCATTAATCCAGCCCAGGCAGGACCATGAGACTGCCCTGTCCACATCACCCCACCCACCCGCCAGCCCCCACCCTTCGGCCAAGTGTAGGACTTAACTTCGCAAACCTGTGGGCTGGAACTGGAAGGTAAGGCCAAACATTTTGGCTGTAGAGACATTCTGGAGATAGATGAGGTGAAAAATAGGATGCACAGACAGCTGGGGAGGCCAAAAACTGGCCTGTTTTAGCCCATTTTTGGCCTACAGAGAGGTTCTGGAGGTGAAAACCAGGCCTGTTTTAGCCTGTTTTGGGCCAAAAAATGGCCCATTTTAGCCTGTTTCTAGCCTGCGGAGGCCTTGTGGAGGTGGGGAAGGTGAAAAATGGGGCTTGCAGGCACCCTGGGAAAGCCAAAAATGGGTCCATTTTTCACCTCCCCTGTCTCCATAAGATAGAAAGAGAGAATAGGACAAAGAGAGAGAGAAAGAAGGATAAAGAGGGAGAGGGAGAGAGGGAGGGAGGAAGGGAGGGAGGGAGGGAGAGAGAGAGAGAGAGAGACTTGTTGATTGTAAGCTCCTTAGGGCTGAGAAGAATTGCTGCAAAACTGAGTTTATTGAAGTGTACCACTAGACTCCTAAACAACTGAAAAATCAATCAAGTAAAAAGAAAAGTCAATTAAAAGGGCAACATCCAAACAAAAGCAAATAAAACAACCCCAGAAACAAAACAAATTGAAGTTTAATTTGTGTGTATTGAACTGTTAAATTGGCCATGCCACCCAGTCACATGACCACCTAGCCACGCCCACCAATCCAGTTTGGCCCCCCCAACAGTCTCAGGAATCGTAAATTGGCCCCCTGTTTAAAACGTTTAAGGACCCCTGCTCTATACTATCTCTTACTGACTGCTCCCGTCTCTTTGCCTAATCTCTCCTAATCTCTTTCCCACCTTTGCATCATTCAATGTTGTGCCTTGAAAGAGATTGAGAGGGAAATCTCCTGAATGCCACCCTGTATATAAATAACTGTACCAAAGTATAAGTTGTGTAAACATTGAACAGTTTCTAACTTCCTTTAATTTTTTTTATCTCAGGGATACCAAGGTAAAAGAGGTCACCAAGGCTTCCAGGTAAGCATACCTTATTAAATGTTTAAGTGAAAATTGATTCACTCTTTTTTCTTTCATGACAATATGCTAGCTGCTCTTACAAAATAAAAATACTGATATTGATACTGATAATGCAAATATTACTGTTTAACAGTAATAAAAAACAAAGAAAAAACAGATTCTTGGGCTTCCCATTGTGGCCCCGCTTGGGGAGCCCAAAGGAACATGCAGTTGTGAAGTTGATTAGTGCCACAAGAAGTCACCCTTTGCCTTTGTCAACTAATTTTACCTGGGCTAAAATTGCCTTCTTGAAAATTTTCTTGCCTCCTTGAAATTATTAAATATTTTTTAATATTTTAATTCTAACATTACAATTTTTATATACTGTTTCTTAGTATGATACCATATTGTACATTGCCAAGAATCTCTCTTTGAGATGGGGAGTTCAGAAATGTGAAATACAGATAGATAGATAGATAGATAGATAGATAGATAGATAGATAGATAGATAGATAGATAGATAGATAGATAGACAGACAGACAGACANCCAGTGTTTTTCAACCACTGTGGCACACTAGTGCCACCACTGTGGCACACTAGTGTGCCGTGACATAGTGTAAGGTGTGCCGTGGGAAAAAACACCCGCCTATAGTCAATATAGGCACAGAGTTAATTTTTTTAAACATTTTCTAATGGTGGTGTGCCTCGTGATTTTTTTCATGAAAAAAGTGTGCCTTTGCACAAAAAAGGTTGAAAAACACTGAACTAAGCTATATGGCAGTGATGGCTAACATTTTTGTCGCCCTGCCCCCTTGCCCATTTTTGGCTTCCAGGTTGATGCAGGCTTTCCAGGCCCAAAATGGGGCATGGGGGAGGGACACATGTGCCCCCCCCCCCCCCGTGCCCTGTTTTGGCTTCCAGGTTGGTGGTGGAGGACTTCTAGGCCCAAACGCTTCCCCATGTCCTGTTTTGGGCCTGGAAAGCTTCCTACATCAACTTGGAAACCAAAATGGGGCATGGGGGCCCCATGCAAGGCCCCAAAATGCAATACCAGTGCCCCCGTGCATGCATCCTGGCCCCTGCGCACACGTGGCAGAGACCCAAAGAACAATTGCCTAGTGGGAGATGCACACCACACATACATGTGCAGTGAAGCTGGCCTGGGGTGATGGCTGGCGTGCCCGCAGAGGGCTCTGTGTGCCACCTGTGGCACACATGCCACAGGTGGCACAAAGGTTTGCCATGACAGCTCTAGGGGGTGTTAGAATATGACTTTGCCTACAACAGCAAAATATCTAAAGCTGGCCCTGAATATAAAGAGGCCTCCAGTGGTACATTCACTTTGATTCTTAAAAGTACTAGCTTCCCTTTAGGTTGATGTTCCTATTTATAAAGCCTAGAATACAAGAAAAAACAACAACGAAGTTAAAGGGTTTCTCACATAGTTGAAACAAAATGTGTGTAAACTGGAATTGGCCAGTCACTGGACAGGAAGGAAGGTTCTTAGATGGCCATTTAGAGTTGAGTAGATCAGTTTCAGATCACATCACACACACCCCAGTTATGTTTCCAAGATGCACTATGTTGTCTGTGCAAGCTTTGTGTCGAGAAGAGTGTTACCCCTTTCACAACTAAACAACTAATAACGATTTTACACAGCCTCAGCAGTGGGTGGAGAATGAAATAGAGGTGACATCACGAGCTCATGTCCATCAAAAATAACTACTAATGTATTTTTGGGCCATGGTAAGCAGAATGCAAAGTTAACTTTCTAGGCGATCCTATATTTGTTCAGGGAGCTCAATCAAAATGTGTTCTGGTTCTCCCCAAGGCTCAAAAGTGCTTTTAGGAATTTAGACACGATCGTTCTTGGTGATGTAGTTTTTACATTTTCTCCCCCATAAAATGACAAAAAGAATTGTAGTTGACTCCCTGCACTAGGGGAAATATTGCATGCACAATGTTTATCTAAATTGTTGTCCATTGAGAGAAAAGGATTGCGTTATGGCAGAGACCATCTATAAAAGAGAATCAGTGTAACAACACTACCACCATCAGGACAATTGCAGTAAATTCAAATGATTCAGTATTATTTTTACTAGCCTTGTCAGGGTTCTTTTTCTGGAGTATGTTTCACCCTATGATTACTTCCTTTCAAAATGTTATGCTTAAGATATAGCAATAAAACATAAATAGCAACATATTCATTTTTAAGGTATCTTTATTTAGATTGTATCATCCAGGTTTGGCTTTAATTAACCCCCCCCCCCAAAAAAAAATCTTAAATCTCAAGAGTTCATACTGTAAATGCTGGTTTTCTATCAAACTGCTGTACAAAAAAATGTAACATTTATACAGTAATTTAATAAGTTTAATTTATACAGTACAATTTAATACATTTTTTTAAAAAAAGCAAATAACTAATTAGCTGGCAAAAATAACAATTTTTTAAATTTAATTTATTTCAAAATGGCACCCAAAAAGCAGTTTTAAAAACCTTTAATCTTGAGACAATTAAACTGTATGTAATTCTTCAGAAATCAAAAGGTTTAGTACCCAAGTAGATACATGATGAGGAAACGAGGATTAATTGCTTTATTAAAAATTGGATATAAGATCTGCTGTTCCTAGTGGCAGTTGATTGAATAGTTCAAGTATAATTCAAACTGTTATTGATTGCTCTACGCAAGATCTCCCCCTTTGAGGTCATGCAAATAGGGAGCCAGATGATCTATGTTTCACTCCCAGTTTAAAAGTTTCATCCACTCCTTGGGGACCCTGTGGCTCGCAGATATAAGAATGTAGGATTTCAGATCCACGACAATCCACTCACAGAGCTCCCACTGCCTCATTCAGTTGTGTTCCACAACATAACTAACAATAGTTCTCCAAAGAGAGAAGTGTAAACTATGGGCATTTGAAGTAAATGTGCAGTTAAGCAGCTATACACATTAACTGCCCATAGACTCCAAACTTCAACCACCTAAGGAGTGCATAAATTAAGGTGCAAACAACTAGTTTTAAGTGTGTCCCAAAGTCTCAACTGTAAAGTTACACACACAAATCTACATTGCCCAAGATTTCTTGTTCAATGAGAATTGGTCAGGTTTGCTGATACCCAGTATCATGTTTATACACCAAAAATGTGGAAAATTAAAAATAAAGTTTTTAAGCAAAAGAAAAAAACAGCAGAAAAACATTGTGGAAAATGATAAGAGGCATTCTCCAAGAACCTATTAGCTTGGCATGGAGTGAGCTAAATGGGCAGACTGTTCTCTGATTAATGGAATGAGCCAATGATACATGATATCTCAAAGACTGGACATACGACATTTCTATCAGAAAGACAGCTTTTGTTTTTAAAAAAACCCTGTACAGATAAAGTTGCAGTTAAATTGATATTTTAAATTGGTGTTTGACAACTGACAGCCCACATGCACAACCTTCCCTCTAGCCTTTGATCCATGTGTAAAAAGGTTGACCCACTTGGTCCAATGAGCTAAAATTGTCCTCGTATGAAGAATTCCAAGTAGTTTGGCCCAGAGAAGAAATGCAAAGGAGATGTACTATATAAAAACTTGCCTATCCCAGGATTAAATATTGGTGAATTACATATAAATGATAACTTCAAATTAATCCTAATACAGAAGCCAAGAAAACTCTTGGATTAAAAATGCACCTTGTGATAAAGCAGAAATTATCAGGTTTGACATATCATTTGCTGAACAGCCTTCACAATGGGACATGACCAGAAGCCTCTGGCATAACTGATCCTATGTCTTCACTAGTGACCATATAATTAGCACAAGAACAGCTAATCCTATTGCAAGTACAAGAATGAGGATGCATATTTTCTTCCGGGACTTGCGCTGAATGAGGGGAAGAAAAAAAAGGATACTATTAGTTTAACTTTCCAAAGGTACAGAAACACACGTTTGATCATATGAGATCATTCCCTTGCTCTCTCAAATGAGTGCTTCAATGAGTTGCTTTTGCCTGTTTCAATATTGGGTTTTTATGCCCTAGATTCCCGCTAACAAATTTATTTATTTAGCTTATGACACATAGCACAGATAGTCCTCAACTTATGACCACAATAGAGCCCATAGTTTCTTTTGCTAAGCGAGAGAAACATTAAGTGAATTTTGCCCCATTTTATGACCTTTCTTGCTACAGTTGTTAAATGAATCACTGCAGTTGTTAAATTAGTAACAGGGCTGTTAAGTGAATCCGGCTTCCTTATTGACTTTGCTTGCCAAAAGGATCACAAAAGGTGTGTCACATGAACCCGGGACACTATATCCATGATAAATATGAACTAGTTGGGCAGCATTCAATTTTTGATCATGTGACCATGGGGATTCTACAATGGTCGTAAGTGTGAAAAAAAATCGTAAGTCACTTTTTTCAGTAGCGCTGTAACTTTAAATGGTCACTAAGCGAACTGTTGTAAAGTCAAGGACTACCTGTACATGGAAAACAGTAGTAAAACTATACAAAAGGAGTACATAATACTATGGTGTACATAAAATGGAAACATGTAGTCAATTTTGTAAGGCTTGAAGAATTCAAAAAGTTATATATAAGTTATAGGTTACACTTTGAAATACGTTGGTTCATGAGAATGGAACAAGTCTTCTATACTTTAATATATAGGTCAGAGGTCCAAACTCAATTTCATTGAAGGCCGCATCAGGGTTGTGTTTGACCTTGGGGAGCCAGGGTGGGCATGGTCAGCCTGACATCACTTGTGTCGGGGGCCCCTGTGATGGCCTGAACACTCTGCCAGCAAAAACAGGTTCCCGAGCTCCGTTTTCGGCTGTGACGGCCTCCTGCAATCCTCTGCCAGCAAAAACGGAGCTCAGGAGGACCTTCCTGAACGCCTTTTTAGCTAGCAGAGGATCGCAGGAGGCTGTCGCAGTTGAAAACGCAGCTCAGGAGCCCCAATTTCACTGGCAGAGGCACTGCAGGCCAGTCCTTCGCTGTTTCCAGGGCAACTCCGCTACTCAGATTTAAGCATCCCATGGGCCAGATCCAACATCGGGCTTAAATGACACCCTAATCTAGGCCATTTTGCCAATTAAGCACCCTGTTAGTTGGAGAAAATCTGCTTTTCCTTCTGCATAAGCTCTCAAATGGTAGCTAGTCATTAAATGATCAAGTGTCTGACAAGGAGCACCAGTCACATTCAGGGAAAGATACTTTGCCCTATTTAAAGTCAGCCTTGACAGATGCCATGCAAAGTTGAGAACCCTATTCAGAATTTTCCAGCATTGGTGGGTGGCATCAAAATCCTCTAATTTTTGTGCCGGGTCAGATATATATTTTTTTCCAGAATCTGGATGATCAATAATCCCATTTATTTTCCACTGGAATTTTATATCAAAGTTAGTATTGTGCAGTTGCAGTGCAAGTATCAAGTGTGGGGTTGATAGAGGAAGAAGAGGCAATTGATCTGCAGTGGCAAAATTCAGACTACACAGATGCTTGACTTGCATCAAAACTTTGGCCTCCAAGGCAAGGAAGCATTGCCTTGGAAAGCCAGGGGAAGCGCAAAGGTATGCCTAATCTGAAATGTAAAATTTAAGTTCTTAGTACATGAAAAATGTCTAAAATACAGGCAGTCCACGTTTAGCATGGTAATAAAGAGTTCATTTTCTAACCAATGTCTGCATTTACAAGAAGAAAAGTCTTTGGTGTGAAACTGATTAAAGTCTGGTCAGTTTCAGACAGGTTGCACCTAGCTGGAGAGGCTTCTAATCAACTAACATCACAAAGCTGAGCTTGTTAACTTGCAGTTAGCACTCTTGAAGGTTGCACTGTCCTGCCAAGAAAAACAGCTGTGGAAGAGATAGCTTGTTTAAGCAATCTCTCTGCCTTGCCAGAGGGCAAAAAGAGGTGAAGGAATATGCTAGGTACCAGATTATACTAGGGAACCTTATCTGTAGAAGAGAATATGGGTTATTATAATGCAGATGTTTCATTGATATGTTACCTAGTTTGATAATGAAAAGTCTGCAAGAAAAATACCAAGGTCAGACAGTACCAAAGAACCCACAGAACTTTATTTAAATGAAAGAGCAGCAAGCAGTGATTTGGTAGTATCTCTCTCTCTTCCTCTCTGTGTCACATGTTCACTTAGCAACCATTTCACTTAATCGATAAGTCATCAGAACCAATTGCAGTTACTAAATGAGGATTATCTGTGGTACTTTTGCTTATGGTAATCTTTACCTGGTACTCGGATGCTCTCGACAACTGCTGGTTTGCCTGCTGAACGTGGACTTCAGCTGTTTCTACATTAGCTTCTATGCTATCTTTGTGAAAGGAGAAAAAGAGCATTACAATTTGTCTTTTACAATTGACATGCGTGCAGAAACATCTTGCTCTTTATATTTTTATATCCATTTTGTAGACATAAATCCCAAGAACAATTATTTGAAAAGATATTAAATTAAAAGCAAGGACAGTGGTACATGTTCCAATACAGGTATTGTTATTATTATTAGCATATGGCATTGTTACATAAGGCAGGAAACTAGAGTGCAATTGCATACTAGTAGTATGGCTGCCAATGTACCGACCCTGTTGCAAGAAATGTTCGCACACTTCCCCTAGTGCACTACAAGAGGGCGAGCTGGTTTTGCACCAGAAGAAAAACAAGCAGCTCTTCCTGTAGTGTCATCCAAGGCCCCTTCCTTCTCTGGAGTTCCCTTGCAATATAGGGTGCCGCAATCAGGAAGGTTCAGAGGATAGGAATCTGACTGGCTGCATGGAGCACCAGCTCGTCCCCCTCCACCAAAGTAGTACCTATTTTATCTATTCACATAGAACATGTTTCTAAACTTTTAGGTGGACAGAAGCTGAGGTGAGTGATGGGAACTCACTCGACACACAATGCTAGAACTCGAACCACTGGAGCAGAAACTAACTCCAGCATCATTAAGCCACTAAGCTGCCATATCTCTTCCAATACAGGTAGTCCTCGACTTACAACCATTTGTTTAGTGAGATTTGAAGTTATAACAACACTGAACAAAGTGACTTATAACCAGTCCTTGCACTTATAGCCATTGTAATGTTCCCGCAGTCCCATGATCAAAATTTGGGAACTGGGTAACGAGCATGTATGTACGATGGTTGCAATATCCTGAGGTCATGTGATCACCAGTTGGTTACTGATAAGTCAAGTCAATGGGGGTAGCTGGGTTAGCTTAATGACATAACTCATTTAACAACTGCAGTGATTCACTTAACAACCATGGCAAAAAGATTGTAACATAAGGCACCATTCACTTAACAACTGCCTTACTTGGCAACAGGAATTTTAGTTCCAATTGTGGTCATAAGTTGAGGAGTCCCTGTGCCAGATGCTGCCAGAAATGCCAATAACAGTATCCTGATCCTAGGAAAATATGTGTTTTCTCTCCCAAACAATAGGAATCAAGACAGCAAAACAGACTAAATACTTTAAAAGTGGAGAAGCTACACTGAATACCCGTAAACTATGGGGTGGAAGGGAGAAAAATAATCCATAATGTTCTGATTAAACCAGAATACTTCTAACAATTCTGCTATGCATCCTGATCATTTTAACTCTCTGATCTGAACTCTCTGTAAAAGCTTCAGGAAAACCTGAAAAATTCTAGGGAACAATTTAATAAATTCTAACTCTTGAATATTTTTATTCCCAAAGAAGGGGAACACCTGCTGTTACATGACGGTACCTGCACTACAGCTGGTATTGTACTGAAATTGAACAAGGCATTCCATAACCAATTGCCCCACCCATGTAATTTGAGCTAAAACTCTCATCCTACCTATATAACATGTTCCAGGCAACTAAGCTCTTTAAATCAATCTCGCTTCAGATCCTGGTGTACCAAAGTTCTCTTAATGCAAGTCTTTTTCCTAATTAATTCTAGACTTTCCTCAACTGCTGCAGCATTTGTACTTGTAAAAGCTAATACAATATAACTAGCATACCCAAACGCGGCAAAAAAAGCATCTCAAAAGGTTGAGCTTTACTTACCTATCACATCTCCTTGTTCATGAATCATCATCCCCAAATCTTTAAATATTTCATTTATGTCAAGAATGTCTGACTACGAAGAAAGAAACTGTATTAAAACAATGTTCAACACGGAACAATGCAATCACAGGAATAAACCACAAGCAATTTATAGTAGAGAGAAGGAAGGAAACAGACATAGGACGGAGATATTTTGATGAGACAGGTAGTTTGAAAGCAATTTTCAATTTATAATATGGTATATTTGAGAAAAGTAGAAAAACTACCACTGGAGAATGTAAATTTGAAGAGTAGGATAAATATTATGAAGGGGTTACTCATTAAGAGAGATTATACATCGATAATAGTGAAATGTGTGTGTGTGTGTGTGTGATCTGTATCAATATCACAGGCATAAGCAACCTTTGTACATTTGTGTGGATATTATTTAATTTTAAAAATACAATTAAAAAATCGCAAAGTACAAAGTAGAATGAATGTGTTTCAAATTCTGAATGTAAGCATCAGCATGATTATGTTCATTTCCTACCTTTTTAAAAATATAATTTTAGGCTTAATTAATTCTTCCAATAAAATCATTTAAAAATCACAGGCATCCCGAATAAGAACAGAAAAAGTACAAAGAATTCTGAGGCAATTATTCACTTCATGTTTACATCATATAATAATAACCAGGACAGAAGTATCTTAGTACCTCTGGTTCCACAACCTTCATAAAATTCAAAGACTTCGGATTTTACAAATTGCTGTACTTTCGTCTTAGCAAGTTCTCTGCTAAATGTGTGGATTACACTTAGGTGATTCTATAGCAGTATTTACCTCAAAACTGGAGAAATTCATTTGTCTTAGGAACCAGGCTCTAACTTCCAATGGGAATTGACATCCTAGCAGATCTTCAAGATTATGAAAGACCATTTTAATGGCACTGATATCCAGGAAGAAAGCAAACTTTAAACTCTTGTAAAGAAGGGAATGCTATGTGATGTCCTAAGTAATGGCATACTTATTAATTATGGGAACTAATAATTTAAAGAGCAACAAGTTCTATCTTGAGCTGTTTTAGTTCATGGACATAATATAATAAATAACATCTTGTTCTTGATCTCATCAGCCAGTGCTCACCTCCAGCTGCCTGATGGCCGATTCTCTTTCTTCAATGAGCCGAAGGTCATCTTCTGTGATTTCTTCATCTAGTACTTGGGTCTGAGGTTGGCTTTGGGTTAAACATACACAGAACACATTATGCACTACACATACATAGTACATTATACACTATTAGGCTGTTATATGTGGAAAAATATATATACTGACTGCATTAAAAGAGATAATTCAGGAGATCTGTAACCTCAAAGTAAATAATGGTTGTAAGCAATCCTTTATTTGTTTCCTTTATTTGTATGCCGCCCTTTTCCCTGGGGGTACTCAGGGCGGCTCACAATTCAAAAAAAGAGGGGGGAGACAAACAGTAGACAATACAACATGTTAAAAAAAGAGCACAACAGTCACACAGTTCGTGTGGGCTACAATCTTAACCCCAGGCCAGCCGGGACAGCCAGATCTTTAAAGCGGCGCGGAAGGACTGGAGGGTGGTGAGGGTCCGAATCTTACAAATAGATGTAAATTGGCTGACCAACCACAACCAGTGCGTAGTCCTTAATGGAACTACATTTACATGGAGGGAATCATGTAATAGATTCTGTTTTGGGCCCAGAACCATAGCAGAGTTGGAAGGGACCTTGTAGGTCTTCTAGTCCAACCCCTTGCCTTGGGCCTATCTCCACCAAGTATTGCTCTCCCTGTATGTATTAAGCAACCATTGTCTAATATTTTTTTAATTATTAATTTTTTAAAAATCTGCCCATCC